CCATCAGCCAGTGAGTTGCCGCAATGCCAGCTGTAAAATATTCAAATAGAACAATCAAAAGTAATCTACCAAGTTGCTTTTGGGAAGCCCTCAAGGAGGTGCCAAAAAAGCCAAAGGAAAAACACAAAAAAATAAAAAACAATCCAAGGGAAAAAACAATAAAAACTTGAGCAGGAAAATTTCCCCAACGAGCAATTCTTTTTTTTTTCGGTTCCTTACCGAGCAAAAGTAAAACAGAAATTGTGTAAGGCACACAAAAGTAGTGAAGCCCCAAAAACGAGAAAACGCAAAACCAAAACCTAAACTTGAAAGTAGCGCTAAAAAAAAAAAAAAGAAAAGGAAAACGAAACTGTGGCAACAATTTTTACGTATGATAAACGTGGATGGAGGAACTCCAGCGCCTGTGTACTTTTCAAAACTGTTTTAAAAGCTTAACCACGAGAAAACTGCGAATATTCCCTAATGACACAAGAAAGGGGGTTGGTGTGGGGCTGGGGTTGGGGCTGTCATTGGGTGGAAAGTGTGGAAAGTCGGGAAATTTGCCACAAAGCCGAGGGGGGGAGAAGTGCCATGGTGATGAGGGCCTTGTCCCAGAAATACGAACAAAAAGTGTGGGCAAGTCTGGCGAGAATAGTCGGAAAAGCCAGAACAGAACGCATTTCCCCAAACAAGAAGAAGAATTGCGGAAGGGGAAAAAAAGGCAGTTTTCCCCGAGACCTGCGACTCAATTGCTGTAAATATCTGCATAGACGTAATCAAGGTTCTTGGGGGATTGCCAATGGCTCTGAAAATGTGGCCAACAAAATTAGTAAGGAGATTGAGCGAAAATCGAACCAATACACATAGTAATCGACGGCCTAGTTAGCTTAAAACCAAACATGTAGTTTTGATTTTATTTGAGTTTTAGATGAATTGAATTGAAAGAATTTTATGCTGTGAAAATATTAATAGCACAACTAATGAATACAAATGAAATAAAAATGTTTTTATTGGTTAACATTAGGTATCTGCTTTTGTTGAATGAATGAATTTTATTAATATAGTATTGCACAGATAAGTTTAATATTTAATCGTTTATTTTCTAGCTATAAAAAAAATTCAATTTTAATTTTAAAGTTATTTCGTAACCGATTCATTAATGGTATAATACCATTCAAAGTTTCTTGTCATAACTCCCATTTTTTTTGATTTGTTCAAAAAGTTAACACAGCCTCAATTACTGTTTCAATGCAGTTAACGCCCCTTCATATTATCTTCTTCTTTTTTTTTTCATCTCCTTGTTGAAATCAAATTGAATTACAAAAGAGATAAGGCAAACTCTCTTTTTTACTTTCGCAAAGAGAACGATGGAAATACCTCCCTTTCCCAAAAAAGAAGTAAAAACAAAGAAAGAAATTTTGGTCTCATTGCCAGTGGAAAATTGTAATTTTTACACCTTCACACCGCCCAAATAAACGACGGAAAACTGCCATTTCCTCTCTTTGCCAGCCAGGGAAAATGCTGCCACTTGGGGGGAACTTTTAGTGCGTCTCAATGCGCATTTTAAATAAAATAGAAATTCAATTTACTTTAAATAAGCGACCAGGTGGGTGGGGATAACAAGGTGACAGGCGGATGGGCGACACGTCAATGCCAGAGTTTCCACAGCTTTTCCGCCGCACAAATGAAATGTAGAAAATCTACGGCAAAGAAAAACGAAAAAGAAAAAAAAACTTTTTCTTGTTTTTTTTTTTCTTTAAATGAACTTTAAATTGACTAAATGTGCTAGAAAAAGGTGCAAAGCTCCAGCTCCTTGGGGAAATGCTGGCAAACCGTTGGGGAAAGAAAACTGTGGAAATCGAGAGGGGGCATACAGACGAATATAATTAAGCGGCGTTTAAAATGCTTGTACTAGGACACGCTGCGGGACAGGCTGAAATTGTGGGTGGCCTTGTTAATTGGGAGTCTGCAGAAGGGGTGGTGTCAGCTGGGTAGGAAAACTCGAAAAACTTTCAACAAAGTTTAATTTAAATATGAATGAGCGGTTTTCCTCTTCTCATCTCCCTTTTTTATTTGGTCACTAACATTCTATTTAAAATATATGAGTTTCTTTCGGTCACCGCATTTATGGTGTTTGCTTAATATAATTTTTATCCTATATCTATATTATATCTAAAACAAAAGATTTAAAATTTTAAACTATTAAAAATATAACATATATACCTAGTTCAAAAAAAGTTAAATTTCAAAGTAATAATTTTAAACAATTAAATTTTTATTTTGGATTAAAATTTAGATTGTTAATTTATATATCTTAAATTGATTTACAGTAACAAAAACAAATTTGCTAAAGGAATTGAGGTATACATTTATCTAAAAAGGAGATCTTCCATTGATCTAAATTAAGCCTTTGCTAATTTAAGTTAGGGAGTTATATCGTACAAATAATATACTTTAAAGTAAATTTGAATTTATAATTTTGGATTAAAATTCAACTGCTTTCGAGTGGGTTAAGTACAGTTAAATAGATTCATCAAAAGGCTTCAAGTATGCGCAACTGTTTTTGTGTTTATGCTGCGAAATGAGGAAAATCCCGTTGTTGAGATTGGCAGTGGTGGAGGATAATGAGATGGTGGGTTGACTTGGTTTTGTTGCCTTGATTTGGCTTGGCTTGGTTGGGCGTCCGACTTAAAGGGGCATTATAAATTGCTACCAAATCCGCAGGACTTAGAGGACTCTTCCGCTGCTGTTTGTTTTCATTGCCACGAAAAGCGGGGTGAGAAGTCGCTGGCTTTGATTTCGCTTTGTGTTCGGATCAAAACAGATTTGCTTGGCCATATTGTTACCTGCTTTTTTTTTTATCTGTTTGCATTTTTTTTTTGTTTTTTTTTTTTTTGCTTTTGTTGTTGTTTGTAGATGATAAGGCAAACCAGGAGGCCTGGCCGTGGCCGTGGCTATAAACCGCAAAAAAGGATCCAAAAAGTGGGTGGGTGGCATAAAGCCGGTAAAATCGTTTTCGCATAATTATAAAGCAGCTCTCGAGTGCACTCGCACAAAAGTAGTGAGGGGGTAAGTGAGTGAGTGAGTGAGTGAGTGGGTCTTGGGGAGGGATAAAGGACACTGGATTGTGGGTGTGGTCCATTGATGGCCAGGCGCCAAACTGTCGGCCGCCAAAACACCCCCATTTTTTTTCTCTCCTCTTAGTTTTTGCCAGAAAAAATGCGAGAAAAACAAACAAAAACAGACATAAATACACTTGCGGATTTATATCGCCCTGTGCGGGTGTGTGTGTGTGAGTTTGTGGGTGTAAGGACACTTGTAACCACTTGTGAGCTAGACAGAGAAAAGTCTCCTTCTCTCTCTCACTCCCCATTCGCTCTAATCAATTTATTGAATTTATTTTTGTTGATTTTATTAAAGCGCGCAAAAAGCAAGAAAAAAAAACATTTATATCTTCGGTAGTAGTAGAATAATACTATATATTGACATTGGGTGAAAGGCAGGGGGGCGTGGTCCTGATTTTGCGAGTGTTTAAGGGGGGATGGGCTAAAATTTCGTTGGAAGTGGATTTTGTTGGCGCCTGGCATAATTAAGTTAGAACCTTTTTTGCCGCCGCTGTTTTTGTGACGTGACTGGGGGGTTTTTGCCCCTTCTGCTCCACCACCCCCTTCTCAACATTCTTGATTGTTATTGTTGTTGCCGCTGAAAGGACGGCCTGATTGCTCCTCGATGGCAAAAGGATGTGTCTGGGACACGCTCTTAAGCAGTTAACACACTCGACTGTACTTAGCCTAAGCCCATGGAAACTAAAAGCGTGCGGGTCGGGGAGAAATAATTGGGGTGAAAGTAAAATGATGGGAAAGATGGCTCATCCCTCAAATGGTTTGCTAAATAATAATCCCTTCCCGCTCCCGTGGAAAACTTACATTGCGATAAAAAAATGTGGCTTTTTAAAGCCAGATCATCATCCATCAAATAGAGTTAAGTTCAAGCAATTTTATACCAGTATTTAATGTATTGGGAATTATAGTTTTTGCATTTAAAATTAACAAAAAACAGAAACGGAGATGACAGTGAATAATGGATTTAAATTTTTTAAAATTTAAAAAATGCTATTTTAGTTGAATGGCTCGGGCTTAATATGTAAATTCGGGTTTCAACTTTCAAATTTAGAAATACTTTTTAACCAGCATTTAATGTGTTGAAAATTATAGTTTTTGTATATAAAATGTAAAAAAAGGAGATGACATTAATAGATTGAAATCTTTTTAATTTAAATTTAATTAAACCTTAAGAGACCTAAAGATTTAGATGTAAATTATTTGTTTGGTTGATCTAAAGTCAACTAGTTTACTATGTTTTAACACAACGTTAAAAACAACGTTTTGGAATAAAATAAATATAGCTCAACAATGGCACAAACACACACCTTTTTGCAACTTTGTGTTTGAATTCCACAAAAACAAAAAACTTTTTTATTTCAATTTATACTATTGAACTGAAATACATTTGATTTTTTTTCAATTAAAAGCAGCCGGTAAAGTTATCAGGGGCTTTGCACTTTTGTGCGTTCTAGATAAATGAAAAGTACATTGATTTTATCCAATCAATGGATTTAAGCCAACAGTTAGTTGGTCGTTATCCTCTGTTCTGTTATCTCATGGCTCTCTCGACTCCCTTCAAAACTTTTGTCAGTCATTTCCCATTTTCCATTTCCCATTTCCCATGTCCACCCCACTCGAATACACGCTTTCAAAACACACATCCATTATTTCCAATTCAAACTTTGCCAATTACAAATCTGCCGTCAACTTTTCGCATATTTTTACCCCAGATTATCCACATGCAGACCCGCCAACAAAATATATTTAACCCACAAAATAAAAATATGAAAGGTGAAAAATGATTTCTACTAATTGTGAACATTTTTCAACAATTCCCCCCTTTTGTTTATACAATATTCCAATTGCACACTCATTTAACTCATATATTTATTTGTTACAATTTTTGTATTTTTGCAGCTGGTCGGCGGTGAATTCGATATGGAATTGAATTTTGTGATACAGGATGCGCAGAATATCAAACATATGCTGGAGCTGCTGGATCATTGTCCGCCCAATTTGCAGGTGAGTTGTTGTTGTTGTTGTTGTTGTTATGGTTGTTGTTGTTCTTGTTGCTGTACCCCTATTCCCAAAAACATGCGCACAATTGAAAGTATCCGGCAAATCCCAGATTTTCCGTAACATACGTATGCTGGTGACTTTTTAATAGAATTTAATTCAATTTGCGCTGCGGCATCAAAGAGAATTAACAGAAAAGGGGGCGTAAGGGGCGTGGCCGCCGAAATTGCGCGTAATGAAAACGCAACATCAACAGGAAATGCCTTTCACCACCAGCTTCGCCAGCTTGTTTTCTCCCTTTTCTCGGCGGCGGCTGGCTTTTCTTTTTTTTTCCCCTGATTTGCATATGAATATGGTTTACACGAAAATAAAAATACTTCAATTTAAATTCAAGAATTAAGGGTTTTATTGGGAAAGGTTTAGTTTTTAGAAATTATGTAGGGTGGTGCTACGCAAACCATTTAGGTTTTGAAATAGTAAGAAATTATAATAGGGTCGCCCCGTCCGTTTTACTTTAAAACAAATTTTTAAGTGATTTGCTTTAAAAATTTTCTGTCTGGTAAATGTATTCTTCTTTGCACAACTTTAAAAACGAGATTCAAAATTTAAAATGTAGAAATAGTTGCTTCAGTGTATAAAATGCTTGGTTAAATTTGAACAAGACCGTGCTCTTAAAATTTGAAATTTAAAATGATTTTTTAAATTAATTAATTGTTAGTCCTTTTTTCTGATATTCTGAATTCAATTGTTTTTCTCTGTGCATAGGGGGCGTGGCAGGTGTTGTAAAAAGTGGTGCGTGTGTGTCTTCCTGCTTCTGTGTTTGCGCTTAACAATATTTTACACCTGACGTTGTCGCTGCTCGCTCGCTTGTGCCATCAAATTATTAGCATGACTGCTGGCGAAAGGATCCAGTAACTTTGCACATGTGCCAGTGAGTGTGTCCACACACCCACATGTGAGTGGGTGGTTTCCTTCTCCCCATGTGTGTGCTGACAGGAAGTGTTTTCTTCTGGCAGACTGAGTGGGTTGCTGGTTTTCTGGCTGTTGTCGGTGTCATCCAAAGCGCGGGGGCACAGACATCGGAAGTTGAAGCTTCAGGAGCTATATATTTTTTATATAGTACAATATATATAAATACAGTATATGTATAGGCAAACACCCAGCGTAAAATCGCAACAAAGTTGCCGCTTTATGAGTTTCCATTGCATTTGGTTCGTTGACCCTCTTGGAAATTCATCCGTTTAACCACTAGAAAAACAGAGCTCGCAAATTCCAGTAACAGATGAATGAAATTTCACTAATAACGAAATTTATTTTGCACTTTAACGCGTTCTAGAATATCAAATTGAATTTTTCACATTTTTGTTTCACGATAAGAAAATTGATTGGGAAAGATTAAGTGCTTATGTTAGTTTATGCAGGCAAAGGATAAAAGATTTAAAAGCATTTTATTTAATATTTGCACATTGAGTAAATCTTTAATATTTTATTAAAATTATCATATGAGTATTCGCTTGCTTTAAATTATTGTCTTTTAGAAAATTTGGTTTTGTTTTTTGAACAAATCGCGACCTCTTTAAATATCTAAAGAAAAAAGATTGCTTTATAAACAATATTTTAGATCTGATATATAAATATTTTTAAAAGAATAAGGTACTATAAAAAAACCTCCATTCTTAAAAAAATATCTCACTTGCAATAAAGTTTATCATTTATTTTCCTTTTGCCACAAAGCCATATTGCCATTTTTCAGACCACTTTTATGCCGCTTGGTGGCATGAACTCTTTGTCCCTGATTTTGCGTAGGTGTGCGTAGGATGGTGGGTGGTTTTTGGTAGGGTGGCAAGTGAATTGTGCCATCTTTTACCTGCCTTTAAGTGCGTGAGTGTGTTTTGTTTGTGCGTCACAAACAAGCGATCCATTTAAGAGTGTCTACATATGATGCATACCTTATGCCCAGAAAAACCACCCACCACCGAACCATCCAACCACCCAGTTAAATCCACCCACTGTAACTACTCTTTAATGACATGCGTCAGTTGCTTGTTTCTGCTTTGTTGGCATAGATGTTTGCTCTTGTTGCGGTTGAACCTTCACAATTTATTTGGCTTTTTAAATTAATGAAAATTGTCAGTGACAAATTTTGGCAATGTGAGCGTCGTGTGTGCGTGCGTTGGGTGGTTGGCTTAAATGTTGGCTGGTTTGGCTACGCTACCAGCTTATGTCCCTGGATTGTTGGCATATGTAAAACAAGCATCAAATATGCATCACCCGGTGGCAACATTGTTAGATTTTCTGGCACCAAGATCTTTTACTTCATTTGGCATGCGAGGCAGGTGTGAGCCACCAATGGTATGGCACCACCCAACCACCCATTGAATTTACAACAATTTTATGGGCACTAAGGCTAGCTGCCTACCCCATCCATTTTATGTAGCCTTTCAACGTGTAGGTCCCAAATTTTAAATGGAAGCGAATAACTTAAATCCTGGAGAGTATACAAATTTGTTACTTTGCAACTACATTTACAGAGATATGTGCATTCATCATTTACACTACAGATATAAGTGCCTGTAAAATTGTTGCTGAGGCGTATTCAGGATATTGATTACCACTGATATTTTGTTCATTTTTATTGATAAAGTTATCAATCGCATCGCTAAGTTGCCTATTTAGTTATCCAATTCGTTTATCGTTCTTTCTTTCTTTCTTATCACATAAGTCTAAGGTATTTGAATTGGTCCTTAAACACATGAATGGATCGTATAACTACGGTATTCGAAGCTTCGATCCTTGAATATAGGCAAATAATTTTGTTTCTCGTCGCCATTTTTCCGCTGGTGTGGAGTAAACATTTTGCATATAAAGGAGGCAACTTAAATGATTTATGCTCAACTAAAGTGCCCAGTCGGTTGTCCCCTGAAATAACCGAACCCTATTTAGCCCTTATCCCCCTTTTACAACACCCCTCGAATTTCAGCATCAGCCGTTGTTCAATTGATTCGGCACGTAACTGAGCCAAGTGCAAATAACAGTTTTAGTCCTTGTCCCGCCGACAGGTGACACGCCCCCTTAAGCCTCTGATTTCTTTTGTTTTTGTTTTTTTTTTTTTTTGGTTTGGACCTTTACTTCACGGCCATAACGTTTTATACTCTCGACAATAAATTCATCGCCCTTTGGTCGTGTTTAGCCTTTAAATCAAAGCTTCTTTTAGAAATTAAGGCCGTAATGCGGGCCACCAGAGTCACCAGATGGGGGAATCACCAAACAGGACCTATAGAATCACCATCACCCCATCGCCCTCTGAACCGCATATTTGTCCCGGCTCGTCGGCTGTGTGTATGCTCAATAAAATTTTACAGCCTTTGCCAGCTCAGCAATTTGCGTAACTCTTGCCACAGTCGAAAAGAGCTCAAAAGGAACCAACACAGAGCCGAGAAGCCGGCGAGAAATGACCCAAGACCCCCCCTTGATTTTTGCGGCTAAAGTAGAGGAGGGTCGAATCAACAGACGAACACCTTTCACCTTTCGTCGAATTGGTTTCCGCTCTTTGTTTTCCCTTCGTTGCCGCCGTTTTGCATATACCTTTTTTTTTCTGCCGTTTTCCATCCGGAGCTGTAAATAACGTTGTTAAAGCTGCAAACAATGTCTCACAGTTGACCAAGGCAGGTGGTCCCCAGAAATGGACTGCTGGGAAGTGGGATAAATATGGTACCTTTGTTCTGTGTTTTAAATTTTAACTCAAGCTCTCTTAAACATACTTACAATGTATTTAATTTCTTTCTAGATAAATGTTTTCTTCTGCCGAAAATCCTTTGCTAATCATAATTTCATTTTATTTGTTTCAGTTTTATTATTAACTAACTAGAGGAGCAAGACATATTCAAATTCAATTTAGTTGCTTTACTTTCTGTTGCATAATTGTTTTTCTTGAGCATGCTTTACTTTAGAGCATGGTCACTCTAACCACTGAGTTTCAGGTCTTAATTTAATTGATTTTTTTTTGGTTTCATATATATTCTCATATACACTTAATAAACACTATCTTATGCTTCTGATGCTTATGTGACTTTGGTCACACTAAACTCACTTGAAATTAAGTGGCTGTCTTTTATAGTTTCTAAACAATTGTATCATTTTCAAGCATTGCCATATTTTAAATTTCCTGTTCACATACCTTTGCGTCTCAGAGTGTTAAGTCAAACATCAAAGTTGGCTTAAGATATCCGACTGACGGAATGGAAGTCCTACCAAAGAGATTTTCTTTTGGCATTACTGCAAAGGAATTTTTTGCTCTCTCTCTCTTTCACGTGTTCTGACTGCCTGCGATAAAAATGAAACATTTTTAAGCTGCTGCTTTGGCTACTGTTTTTTGAGGGAGTGCGAAGCCATCGCAACATTTCAGTTTGGCAAGTATCTGAAAGTTGTATCTTTGGCTTAGGGCCGCTTATCTACATTCGAACAGGGCGTGCCGCGTCCCACACACACACACAGTTCTCAGCTTTGCAACCTGCCTGCGTACAAACCACTCCACTGCCCAAATGCCCAGTTACTGGTGGTAAAGTTACACGGAGGATTAACTTGTGATTATGTTGGCAGTGGCAGTCAAAGCCAGCCAACGATTTTCCGTTGCCAGTTGGCAACTTTTGTACAAGGGGGAAGGAATCCTCCTAACCCAGAGTTTAAAGTCTAGACCGCGTCGTAATTATCTGGAGTATGTGTTAGGCCCGTTGGTAAATCATAAACTCCAGCTACTGCTGCTGCTGTTGTTACTGCTGTTACTGCTGTTCCTGCTGATTATATGGCCATGCCCAAGTCGGGCAGATATGCAGATGCCTCCATTTCTGCGTTATCCTCTTTGGTTTCCCTGCCAACCTCAACAACATAACGGAGGCACATGCCATAAAATACACAAAATAGAAAGCAGCCAAGGGCTATACATGAAATTTATTCATGAATTGAATTTGTATTCCTCGCAGATATTTTATAAGTTTTCCATTTCTATT